AGCTCCTGATTACAATAAGTAAACCTGGCTTGAGCCTGCATCTGCGATCCAATTGAAGACCAGCACGGGGGCAGCAGTTAACTTAAAAAAACATGAGACCTCGATGAGCTCTAAATCTGAGTTCATAATATGGTCATGTGATACTGGTCAGTGCCTTGTTTTGACAGGCATCAATTGACCATAACATGGATGTCCAATATCAAAGATGTACACTCTAAATTAAGGCTGCATTCATATGCCTCGGTTGGCCCAGGGTTCGAAAAAAACCCATCCGGTTGTCCGGAACAAGTAGATTTTCCCTCTGGGCAAGTAACTTTCTCTCCTTACTTGCCCTATGGGCAGGGACCCAGGCAAGCCATTCGCCGACTAAATTTTTGATAATGATTAGAAGGAAAGGTAAATTTTAGGCTCAAGGGTAGTCAAGTGTTTAGATGAAGCTTGACGAAAATTACAATTTATAGCATTGTTTTGTTGACTGCGTGACGCGCGCTCACGGCTCAAAAGTGGTTGCCTAGCACATGATCAAAATCTGCCCTCATCAAAGTTCTTTCCAGGATTAAAAATAGCCGCATTGAGCACGGAAATGCTGTGTTTATTTCTTAAAATGTTAGCAATTTTTTGCGAGCATTTTCCAGTTTCTCGGCACAAAACTTAACTTAACAACAATATATTAAAGCTGCAGAAATTGCACGCAAAAAGAAGCCACATATTTCTACCACGAAAACAAAGCCAGCATTTTTGATGCTAAAATCCAGGTAAATCTCTGTTTTTGGCAAAACATGCAAATTTGCTAGTGATAACATACTTGGGTGCCACCACACGAAATGAAAAGTATTATATTATTAAAAAGAAATGGATAGGTAAGTCATCAAAAATTAATATTTTCAGAGTTCCTGGAAGATGACTTGAAATTTAAATAGTGTTTCTTTCAAACGAAGACGTTTTCCCTCGACTGAAACTATTATTCATTCACCCAAATGAAAAAATATGCTCTCCCCGGCTTTTCAAATTTGACACTGGCCATGTCAAAATCGATGTGGGAAGGCGACTTAATGTCAATTCTGTGTGTCATAAATTTCTCGCGTTTCTCTTCACAATGATTTCGTGGAGTTAGGCAAGCTGCAGGTGAACATTCAAGGAGTCGAATGCGATCTTCGACGAATTGAACGAATTGATTCAAGGCTGTATCATAACGAAGATACCCAGCGTGTAATATAGGAACTAGGAAGTAAGTACATGAACGAACAATAACAACTTCACAAACTTTGTTTCTTCAACTGGGAGGCACTGCCAAAAGATGCTGTGGGACAAAATTTAATTCCTGATGACAATTTTCTATCACATTCGAAAATTCCAGGGAAAGTTGAATCTGGTGATGGTAACTGCCTCTATCGCTCTGCTTCCCTTATACTTGTTTTGGGAATGAAGATCTCTCATTTTTCGTCAAGGTTGTAGAGAATTATTGAACCAAAACATTAGGGTGCCATAAGGCATATGAAAGCAGTCAGTTAAAAAAGTTCAGTAATATTGTATTGGGAAAGCTGATACTCATGATAGAGTATCTGACAATGTAAGGTACACACTACTTCAATGTGATTATAACAGTGTTCATCCATGTTAATTATTACAAACCGTGCAACTTCATAAAAAGCGGAATGAAGAACTTAAAAGTTGCGGAAGTATTACAGTATAATGGCGTAAACATGAAAGTGATCAGCACAAAGAGGACTACGGTCAAGATGGGTTTATTACATTAAAACACGCCTGTAGTTTGACTTCCATTTTGGGTCATGAATTATTAATGAGTTTGAAAACTTGGGCAAGTGGGGAACTGCCCCAGGCAAGCAAAATTTGAGAGTTACTTGCCCGACGGGCAAGGTGGAATTCAAATATTTTTCGAGCCCTGTTGGCCTAACAGCTGAAGTATGACCTTTATGTTACATGACGTCGTTGTTGTGCGTATGCACCCATGATGGCTCTGATGATGTTGAGAAAAGCAATTCATGGGTTCTTATAGGTGTGGTGCTCCACTTCGGGTCGCCAGAGCTCTGCTAAGGGTGGAAATGAATTTCCACAGCGATCATAGCAGACTCTCTTTCTGGCATGCTACTGTTGCTTGCTCTCAAAAATCTGCTACTTGCTCATGACACCAGATTTGAACCTATTTACAATGTATCTACATCCACACTGTAAGGATGTCTCAGTTATGTGTAACCACAGGATCAGTGTCAAAATGTATGTTATTTATTTTACAGAGCAAGAGGGGAAGACAGATGACATTCAAGAACTGCGGAACAAAATAATGGAGGTGTTGAGACAGGAGCCATATATGGGGGAGAAGATACCAGTCAGGTAAAAAATAAATACATATAGTCTTGTTTTTGAGTATTTTTAAATCAGCAACTGAAGATATTGTTGCACTGACATTGGAGGAGAAGAAATAGGCCAATTTCAATCTATAATTAAAATTATAACTTAACTCTGAGGCTTTGGGGAATAAAACAAAAGAAATTAATTCATCCCTCATCCCTGGTGCAATTTCTTTTTGGTGGACAAAAAATTAATGGTTGTCACAGCTCAGTCAATTTGCCAGATGCCCAGCCTTAATGAAACCTCTGTTTGTGACACCATTTTGATGGCTTTCATAAACTACAGCAAATCAAATTTTAAGAACTGTTGTGTGCACACGTAGATACACATATCTGTTGTGTGAATACAAATGGATGATCTTGGCAAGTCTGATTTTATAGTTCTTGCACTCTCATTGTTGGCAATTTGGAAATGAAAGCCATGAGAACATTAATATTATATGGCAACGATTTGAAGTAGTTGTCAAACGTTAATCAAAAGTTGTTCATTTGTGGATAGTATGGCGAAATAATGGTAAATAGTAGAAATAATGGCTTGTCATGTAATGTGATTAATTTTCTCTGATCTCTTTTAGATGGTTTCTGTTTGAAAAGGTGATTGAAGCCTTGATTGCCAAACAGATTTTTTACACAAATCTGGTGCAACTCCAAAGCTATGCCAAAGAGCACTGCTTTATAGAAGATGCAGATGAGTTTGCTGGCATGATCAGTTTCTACCATGGCCTTGGTATGAT